GTACAAATCTTCTTTCACTAGGGTGAGCACGTACTGTACGTTTGTTTTTTCGCCTGCAAAAATCTTGGCCTCCAGCTTTTTGGTGACATGTCAATTTTTTTTATAAATAGCAATTAACCATCCGGCCTATTTACGTTGGCTCTCAACTCTGGTCCACCCACGCATCCAAAGATTCCAAACAAAATCCTAGACAATTATTTTCTACACCCTAATTAATTGCTAAACCCAACATGGTGGTGATAGGCCCCTCTCGTGCTAATACGCAAGACTAAAGTTGCTTTTCATCTAGTCTTGTCTGTTAGCGCCCCTGGTCCACCCACGCATCCAAAGATTCCAAACAAAATCCTAGACAATTATTTTCTGCACCCTAATTAATGGCTAAACCCAACATGGTGGTGATAGCCCCTCTCGTGCTCATACGCGAGCCTAAAGTTGCTTTTCATCTACTCTTGTCTTTTAGCGCCCCCCCCCCCGCAATTTCTACTTCTTGTCATCTAAGTCTAAATAGCACCTCTTGCACTTGCTTCGACGAAATTTCGACGATGCCGTGTGGATAATTTACGCGCCAAATCACCGATTATATAAGCCCAGTGCATAGAAGCAACAGTAAACATACACAGCCACAACGGCAACCATTACAGAGAGCTAGCTAGCTTGATTAGGTGAGTAGGGGCTGCAGTGCGCATTCATGGCGTTATCTGTGGAGAAGTGGGTAGGGTTTGGGTCGGCCATGGCTGGCTTCGGCTTGCTTTGGTCGAGGATGCCGCAGCACGTCCATGATGAGGCTAGGCACATCATCTGTAGCTTGGTTCCCATGGTGATGTCCTACTTCAACCCCTATGAGCAGATCACCATCTCCGAGTACGGTGAAGAGCGGTTCGAATGGAACAAAATGTTCTTCGCTGTTTCCACCTACCTGAGAAGGGTGTGCTTGGATGATGCAAGCAAGCTCAAGGCCGAGCTCGGCAACAACAGCAAGGACGACCCGCTTATCAGTCTGGACACGAACCAGGAGGTCGTCGACAATTTCGACGGAGCCCGCATGTGGTGGAGGCTGTGCCCCAAATCCGCCAAGAACAGGGGGCCCACCATCGTCAGCTTGTTGCCTGGGGATTCCGACGATGAACCTCGGTGCTACAGGCTGGTGTTTCACAAGCGCCACCGCAAACTTGTGCTCGACTCCTACCTGCCCAGCATCGTCCGGCAGTGGCGCGAGATAATCGCCACGAACCGGCAGAGGCTACTGTTCACCAACCACTCCCAAGAAGGGAAGAGCAGGTGGATCAATGTCCCGTACCATCCCCCGGCGACGTTCGACATGCTCGCCATGGACCACAGCAAGAAGATCGAGATCATGGAGGATCTCACGGCATTCCGTGAGGCGAAGGAGTACCACTCCAAGGTCGGCAAGGCGTGGAAGCGGGGATACCTCCTGCATGGGCCGCCGGGCACAGGCAAGTCCACCATGATCGGGGCTATGGCCAACTTCCTCGAGTATGATGTCTACGACCTCGACCTAAGATCCATCAAGGACAACGCCGAGCTGCGGAAGCTCTTCCTTGATACGACGGACAGATCCATCATCGTTATCGAGGACATCGACGCGATCGAGGTCGAACTCACCACCAAGCGCAAGGGCAAAGAGGCAGCCAAAGAGAACGACGACAACCACCTGGTGATAGAGCTGTCCGAGAAGAATAACAAAGGCAAAGTGACGTTGTCGGGGCTGCTCAGCTTTGTCGACGGAATGTGGTCGGCCTGCGGCAGCGAGCGGATCTTCGTGTTCACCACGAACCACGTTGACCGGCTCGACCCGGCGCTGATCCGGCGGGGTAGGATGGACAGGCACATTGAGATGTCCTACTGCCGGTTCGAGGCCTTCAAGATGCTCGCTAAGAGCTATCTAGACATCACTGAGCATTCACTATTCGGTGAAATCGGGCAACTGCTCGATGAGATCGACACAACTCCGGCAGACGTGGCAGATAACCTCATGCCGCGGGGCAAGACGAACGGTGAAATCGATCGAAACCTCATGCTGCGGGTCAAGAGGAGAGAAGCAGATGACTGCTTGGCAGGTTTAGTGGAAACACTGAAGAAGGCTAAGATGAAAGCTGCAGCACCTCCTATGGATTCAATGGAAGAGGCGAAAGAGGAATAACCTAACGCACAAGAAAGTTAGACAGGGGGTCAGATATATAATAAGGGTTGCTAGATCTTTGTCTTGTGCTATTTTACATAATTTTCGTGTTTGTTTGTCTTAAGCTTGGATACGTCATAACCTCAACTGCTACTTATGTTCTGTAGAATTTGTCTTGTCAACCTTTCAAACTTTGATAAATAATATGTTTGCCATTTATATATAAAATTGTCATTGGATTTATCATGAATTCTTTTATAGTACCATCACTAGAAAGGCGTGCGGCGTTGCCGCGCAGTGCCTGTCTTATGTCGAAGTATTATAGTTGATAAAAAAATTATTTCATGTACGGAGTAATAATAATTGTACGTAGACAGATGTATGTTTTTTTAAGCAACGTTGGTAAGACAAATCCTTGGTTTGCAAGAAAACGTACGTGAAAAGATTATAGGTGGAAATTATGTGTAGTAATATGGAGCGACCTTCGTAGATACGTGAATATATACAAATGTTAGTGTATGTATTTAAATCACCTGTTTAGCCCTACAAAAATGGATGTTATTGATATGTATTGTGTTCGTCATATAAGCAATTATTATATGAAGTATAGAATTTGCAACAAAAAAAGTCGAATTTTTGTAAATGGGCAACAACGTTCATAGACGTGGTTATTTAAGAGTATAATCACATGCATGGATTTTAACCGGTGGAAATAAACCTTTGGTTGATTTGGTTTCTCAAATATTATTATATAGATGCCAAATAAAATCTGGAGCATGATTATCTGGAAGTAAATGATAAAATTACTTCAATATGTGAAATGGATATAGATGGACAAACGGAATCGTTAATGTTGAATATTTGAATTGCACTAATGTGTACGATATTATATATCTATTGCATAGATCTCGTTACGATAAACAAAACAGAACTTGTTTTTTTTTATTTTATGACTTTTGTATGTTTTCATATAGATTTTATAACTTTTATTAGCGGATTAAAACATGAAAGTAAAAGGAAAACCTAATAGGACAAACGTTTTGCACTTAGGCCCCTATACTTTTCCTTATTCTCAATGTGCTACGATGTACAGTTAACAACTGTTTATATGTGTCTGGAGATTTTGCATTGGGAACCCTGAAAAAGCTTCTATTCTCCTTTCCTCACCCAGGAGCGCTCAGCAGAGCAGAGCACGCACGCAGGGTGCCGACGCCGGCGTCGATCCGGATGGGGACGGCCTCAGCGCCGACGCCTAGTCTGCCGATGAGCTGCGCTGGTCCCGCGCATGTCACCGGGCCAGCTGTGCCTCTCGCCGCCAGCGCTGGTCGTCCAGCTGCAGCAGGAAGTTCCTGAGCCTCGCCGCGCCCACGCCGCGCGCTGGTCGTCTAGCTGCAGCAGGAAGTTCCTGAGCCTGGCCACGCCGTCGCGCGCCTCGGTCAGATCGTTCTGCGCCACGGCCGCCCTTGCCGTCGGCACGCCGCTGCCCGACGACGCCATCGATCGATCCTATAGTCCCTAGACCACCATGCCGTCGATCTAGAAAACCCACAGTTGGCGAGCAGCTTCGTGCTCGGGCTGTTGTTATACCTAGACACGCACTGCACACTAGCTCCTCTCTGCGAGCGATGTAGAAAGATGTGAGGAAATAACTTGCGGTGCCTGCTAATTGTGCGCTGTTCTTAATTTACCCCGTGGTTGTCTGGGAGGGAAAAAAGCGGTATGGAAAGGTTGAAAAGAGTGAGGGGAGGAAGCTGCATGGAAGGAACTAAAGCATGGGAGTCAGTGGAGCCCGGTGCCGGACTGCCGGCGGATTGGCCTCTGGCCGTCGCCGATGGATACCCAGAGGGGGGAAAGGATGCCATCAGTCTACCGGACCGACCGAACTGCCGCTAGCTTGGTGCAAGGGATGGAGCTGTCATCGCGATGACACAGGCAGCATGAGATCACGCATATGCAAGGTCTTTGACCGGAGGGTCACCGGGTCTCGCAGGTAATGCCTGGGCAATTTCTCCGATGACCGTCCATCAATTATTTCCCGTATTTCTGCTACAAAGAAGGGCATTCATAATTTTCCCTGCCACTTGACACCGTTACTAGACCAAATGGACGGCAGTGCTATCTAGGGAAGAAAATTTTAACTTGGTGCCAAATAAGAAAGTCCAATTTTTTTAGTGCCAAATGCGGAAGACTGATTTGTTTCAGTGCCAAATACATAATTCTCCCATAAAATTAACACGGACTGTGCAATCTTTCGCCGGCCTTTCGCCTGTACAAATCTTCTTTCACCAGTGTTAACACGTACTGTACCTTTGTTTTTTCGCCTGCAAAAACCTTGGCCTCCAGCTTTTAGGTGACATGTCAATTTTTTTATAAATAGCAATTAACCATCCGGCCTATTGACGTTGGCTCTCAACTCTGGTACACCCACGCATCCAAAGATTCCAAACAAAATCCTAGACAATTATTTTCCGCACCCTAATTAATTGCTAAACCCAACATGGTGGTGATAGGCCCCTCTGGTGCCGATACGCAAGACTAAAATTGCTTTTCATCTACTCTTGTCTGTTAGCGCCCCTGGTCCACCCACGCATCCAAAGATTCCAAACAAAATCCTAGACAATTATTTTCTGACCCTAATTAATTGCTAAACCCAACATGGTGGTGATAGCCCCTCTCGTGCTGATACGCGAGCCTAAAGTTGCTTTTCATCTACTCTTGTCTTTTAGCGACCCGTATATGACACTACCGTCCATTTCATCCATTCATCTGTTAGTTGACTAATTTGACCGTGTCAGTTTTTTCTTAGTGTGACCAACATACCCTCTGTTACTCACGCGGACTTCCTGAGCGGCCAAGCTGCTCACCTTTTGCTGGAACTTTGTTTCCTCTTGTTCCCGCACGAGCTCCCCGACTGTTGTGGCCTCGCACCGTCCGACCTGGCGCTCACATCCAATGCCGACATCGCGCTCGACAGCTTGGTCTGGACGTCGTCGATCTCCAGCTGCGCCCACACCGCGCGCTGGACGTCTAGCTGCGGCAGGAAGTTCCTGAGCCTCGCAGCGCCATCACGCGCCTCGGTCAGATCGTTCCACGCCACGGCCGCCCTTGCCGTCGGCACGTCGCTGCCTGACGTCACCATCGATCGATCCTATAGTCCCTAGACCACCATGTTGTCGATCTAGAAAACCCACAGTTGGCGAGCAGCTTCGTGCTCGGGCTGTTGTTATACCTAGACACGCACTGCACACTAGCTCCTCTCTGCGAGCGAGGTAGAAAGATGCGAGGAAATAACTTGCGGTGCCTGCTAATTGTGCGCTGTTATTAATTTACCCCGTGGTTGTCTGGCAGGGAAAAAAGCGGTATGGAAAGGTTCAAAAGAGTGAGGGGAGGAAGCTGCATGGAAGGAACTAAAGCATGGGAGTCAGTGGAGCACGGAGCCAGACTGCCGGCGGATTGGCCTCTGGCCGTCGCCAATGGATAGCCAGAGGGCGGAAAGGATGCCATCAGTCTACCGGACCGACCGAACTGCAGCTAGCTCGGTGCAAGGGACGGAGCCGCCATCGCGATGACACAGGCAGCATGAGATCACGCATACGCAAGGTCTTTGACCGGAGGGTCACCGGGTCTCGCAGGCAATGCCTGGGCAATTTCTCCGATGACCGTCCATCAATTATTTCCCGTATTTCTGCTACAAAGAAGGGCATTCATAATTTTACCAGCCACTTGACGCCGTTACTAGACCAAATGGACGCCGTTACCAGCCACCCACGCATCCAAAGATTCCAAACAAAATCCTAGACAATTATTTTCTGCACCCTAATTAATTGCTAAACCCAACATGGTGGTGATAGGCCCCTCTCGTGCTGATACACAAGCCTAAAGTTGCTTTTGATCTACTCTTGTGTTTTAGCGCCCCTGGTCCACCCACGCATCCAAAGATTCCAAACAAAATCCTATACAATTATATTCTACGCCCTAATTAATTGCTAAACCCAACATGGTGGTGATAGCCCCTCTCGTGCTGATACGCAAGCCTAAAGTTGCTTTTCATCTAATCTTGTCTTTTAGCGCCCCCGGCGCAATTTCTACTTCTTGTCATCTAAGTCTAAATAGCACCTCTTGCACTTGCTTCGACGAAATTTCGACGATGCCGTGCGGATAATTTATGCGCCAAATCACCGATTATATAAGTCGAGGGCATAGAAGCAACAGTAAACTTACACAGCCACAATGGCAACCATTACAGAGAGCTAGCTAGCTTGATTAGGTGAGTAGGGGCTGCAGTGCGCATTCATGGTGTTATCTGTGGAGAAGTGGGTAGGGTTCGGGTTGGCCATGGCTGGCTTCGGCTTGCTTTGGTCGAGGATGCCGCAACACGTCCATGATGAGGCTAGGCACATCATCAGTAGCTTGGTTCCCATGGTGATGTCCTACTTCAACCCCTATGAGCAGATCACCGTCTCCGAGTACGGTGAAGAGCGGTTCGAATGGAACAAAATGTTCTGCGCCGTCTCCACCTACCTGAGAAGGGCGTGCTTGGATCATGCAAGCAAGCTCAAGGGCGAGCTCGGCAACAACAGCAAGGACGACCCGCTTATCAGACTGGACAAAAACCAGGAGGTCGTCGACAACTTCGACGGAGCCCGCATGTGGTGGAGGCTGTGCCCCAAATCCACCAAGAACAGGGGGGCCACCGTCATCAGCTTGTTGCCAGGGGATTCCGACGATGAGCCTCGGTGCTACAGGCTGGTGTTTCACAAGCGCCAACGAAAACTTGTGCTCGACTCCTACCTGCCCAGAATCGTCCGGCAGTGGCGCGAGATAATCGCCACGAACCGGCAGAGGCTACTGTTCACCAACCACTCCCAAGAAGGGAAGAGCTGGTGGATCAATGTCCCGTACAATCCCCCGGCGACGTTCGACATGCTCGCCATGGACCACAGCAAGAACATCGAGATCATGGAGGATCTCACGGCATTCCGTGTGGCGAAGGAGTACCACTCCAAGGTCGGCAAGGCGTGGAAGCGGGGATACTTCCTGCATGGGCCGTCGGGCACAGGCAAGTCCACCATGATCGGGGCTATGGCCAACTTCCTCGAGTATGATGTCTACGACCTCGACGTAACATCCATCAAGGACAACGCCGAGCTGCGGAAGCTCTTCCTTGATACGATGGACAGATCCATCATCGTTATCGAGGACATCGACGCGATCGAGGTCGAACTCACCACCAAGCGCAAGGGCAAGGAGGCAGCCGAAGAGAACGACGACAACCACCTGGTGATAGAGCTGTCCGAGAAGAATAACAAAGGCAAAGTGACGCTGTCGGGGCTGCTCAGCTTCGTCGATGGGCTGTGGCCGGCGTGCGGCAGCGAGCGGATCTTCGTGTTCACGACGAACCACGTTGACCGGCTCGACCCGGCGCTGATCCGGCGGGGTAGGATGGACAGGCACATTGAGATGTCCTACTGCCGGTTCGAGGCCTTCAAAATGCTCGCTAAGAGCTATCAAGACATCACTGAGCATTCACTATTCGGTGAAATCGGGCAACTGCTCGATGAGATCGACACAACTCCGGCAGACGTGGCCGGTAACCTCATGCTGCGGGTCAAGAGGAGAGAAGCAGATGACTGCTTGGCAGTTTTAGTGGAAACACTGAAGAAGGCTAAGATGAAAGCTGCAGCACCTCCTATGGATTCAGTGGAAGAGGCGAAAGAGGAATAACCTAACGCACAAGAAAGTTAGACAGGGGGCCAGATATATAATAAGGGTTGCTAGATCTTTGTCTTGTGCTATTTTACATAATTTTCGTGTTTGTTAGTCACTTAAGCTTGGATACGTCATAACCTCAACTGCTACTTATGTTCTGTAGAATTTGTCTTGTCAACCTTTCAAACTTTGATAAATAATATGTTTGCCATTTATATATAAAATTGCCATTCTATTTATCATGAATTCTTTTATAGTACTATCACTAGAGGCGCGCATGGCGTTGCCGTGCAGTGCCTGTGTTATGTCGAAGTATTATAGTTGATAAAAAATGTATTTCATGCACGGAGTAATAATAATTGTACGTAGACAGATGTATGTTTTTTGAAGCAACGTTGGTAAGACAAATCCTTGGTTTGCAAGAAAACGTACGTGAAAAGATTATAGGTGGAAATTATGTGTAGTAATATGGCGCGACCTTCATTGAGATACGTGAATATATACAAATGTTAGTGTATGTATTTAAATTACCCGTTTAGCCATAAAATAGTGGATGTTATTGATATGTATTGTGTTAGTCATATAAGCAATTTTTATATGAAGTATAGAATTTGCAAAAAAAATATCGAATTTTTGTAAATGGGCAACAACGATCATTGACGTGGTCATTTAAGAGTATAATCACATGCATGGATTTTAACCGGTGGAAATAAACCTTTGGTTGATTTGGTTTCTCAAATATTATTATACAGATGCCAAATAAAATTTGGAGCATGATTATTAGCGCCGACGCCTGGTCTGCCGGCGAGCTGCGCTGGTCCTGCGTGGTCACGGGGCCAGCCGTGTGCTCGCCACGCCGCTGGTCATCCAGCTGCAGCAGATAGTTCCTGAGCCTCGCCGCGCCATCGCCCGCCTCGGTCAGATTGTACGCCGCGCCACGGCCGCCCTTGCCGCCAGCACGTCGCTGCCCGACGACGCCATCGATTGACCCTATAGTCCCTAGACCACCATGCCGTCGATCTAGAAAACCCACAGTTGGCGAGCTGCTACGTGCTCGGGCTGTTGTTATACCTAGACACGCACTGCACACTAGCTCCTCTCTGCGAGCGAGGTAGAAAGATGCGAGGAAATAACTTGCGGTGCCTGCTAATTGTGCGCTGTTCTTAATTTACCCCGTGGTTGTCTGGGACGGAAAAAAGCGGTATGGAAAGGTCGAAAAGAGTTAGGGGAGGAAGCTGCATGGAAGGAACTAAAGCATGGGAGTCTGTGGAGCACGGTGCCGGACTGCCGGCGGATTGGCCTCTGGCCGTCGCCGATTGATACCCAGAGGGGGGAAAGGATGCCATCAGTCTACCGGACCGACAGAACTGCCGCTAGCTCGGTGCAAGGGACGGAGCCGTCATCGTGATGAAACAGGTAGCATGAGATCACGCATACGCAAGGTCTTTGACCGGAGGGTCACCGGGTCTCGCAGGCAATGCCTGGGCAATTTCTCCGATGACCGTCCATCAATTATTTCCCGTATTTCTGCTACAAAGAAGGGCATTTATAATTTTACCAGCCACTTGACGCCGTTACTAGACCAAATGGACGGCAGTGCTATCTAGGGAAGAAAATTTTAACTTGGTGCCAAATAAGAAAGTCCAATTTTTTTAGTGCCAATTGCGGAAGACTGATTTGTTTCAGTGCCAAATACATAATTCTCCCATAAAATTAACACGGACTGTGCAATCTTTCGCCGGCCTTTCGCCTGTACAAATCTTCTTTCACCAGTGTTAACACGTACTGTACCTTTGTTTTTTCGCCTGCAAAAATCTTGGCCTCCAGCTTTTAGGTGACATGTCAATTTTTTTGTAAATAGCAATTAACCATCCGGCCTATTGACGTTGGCTCTCAACTCTGGTCCACCCACGCATCCAAAGATTCCAAACAAAATCCTAGACAATTATTTTCTGCACCCTAATTAATTGCTAAACCCAACATGGTGGTGATAGGCCCCTCACGTGCGATACGCAAGCCTAAAGTTGCTTTTCATCTACTCTTGTCTTTTAGCGCCCCTGGTCCACCCACGCATCCAAAGATTCCAAACAAAATCCTAGACAATTATTTTCTACGCCCTAATTAATTGCTAAACCCAACATGGTGGTGACAGCCCTTCTCGTGCTGATACGCAAGCCTAAAGTTGCTTTTCATCTACTCTTGTGTAAACCCAACAGGGTGCCGACGCCGGCGTCGATCCGGATGGGGACGGCCTCAGCGCCGACGCCTGGTCTATCGGTGAGCTGCGTTGGTCCCGCGCGGACACCGGGGCCAGCCGTGCCTCGGCCGGAGACGGCCCGTGGCCTGCTGGCAACGAGCACAGGCCTGGCTGCAGCGGCGCAGCTCGGTCGCGACGATGCTGCACGGCAGCCGGGATGGCCAGGAACACCTCGGTGCGGGCGCAGGCGTCGCCGCACCCACCCACTGGCGCTGGGGCCGCTGGCCACCCACCCGCTTTGTTGGGGCTCGATCCGGGCGTCGTCGCGCCAATCCGATGGCTCGAACGGCGAGCGACGTGGCCACTCTCGCTGGCTCGCTTTTGGTGCGTGATTTGTATTAAGAGATTTCATCGTTATACATAATCCAAATTGAAAAAAAAAATTAAACTAGTTGAAGTCATATCTTTAAGACTTGGAAAAACTAAAATAAATCAAGCAAGAAGGAGGTGTCAGAGCTACGTAGCAATCCTCCGTCAACAAATACAAACTTTGCTTGCCAGAGATTAAGATTAAGAAAAAAGAATGTGCATGGTGCCCTTCATTAAATGAGATTAAGGTTAAGAAGAAAAGATTGTGATGCCCTTCGCTAAATGAGGGCTGATTGAAGTTGAAAGGGCGATTGGGGTAAAATGGAAAGAAATTTAAAGGGGAGGTAATTGATGAGACATTTTTCTTGCAGAAATCCTAACAAATTATAAACACACATTCATGGACAGACAAATTTTAAAACACGCATTGGTGGACAGAGAGTAAAATATTTAATACTAGCTAGCATTGTGGATGGCTATCTCTTTTGACACTTTAATTTGTAATATGATCTACCTCATCATATAAAACCTTATGTTTCTCGCGTCGGTACTATTCACTATTCATCATTCCTCCAAGCGGCCACGTCACCCTGAAACCAGGGTCGTTCGATCCACACGCGGTCACGCATCCACCATCCATGCTTGAGATTCAGGCTATCGTTAAGTGAAGAAATATCGGACCCCTGTGGTAGAAGCGATTTTCGCCGATTTTCGATGTTTGTACAAAAATGTGTCAAACCAATTCAAACTGACACACCAAAACTTATCCGAAATTTGGTGAAAAATGCCAAATCTATGAGCGAGAATCGGCGAAAATCAGACGAAGTTTTGCGCATTTAACAGAAAACTGCAACTTTAACCTTTTTCTTGATCGATTCAGGGTTCAACACAAGTTTTCAATAGTACATAGAATATTTGAAGTAATATTCCCAGAAAAAGGTAGAGTTGAGGGCCAACTCTATATTTTTGTCGGAGCTCCTCAAGGGTACTCTAGAAACTAGCGTTTTGTATGTCCTTATAGAGCTGAGGGCTAATTACCCACCGCTGCCACCATCGATTACACAAGGTAACGTTTCATTCTGTTTTCCACATCTCCCACCCGACCCCTTTTGTTTCTGGCGCTCGAGCCTTTCTTCCCCAACCGTAGCCCGCGTCGCCTCTAAATCCAGCCGCCTTGGCGAGCACTCCGACGAGGTGACGGACGGAGGTGCTAGATCCAGTGATCCTCTACCGGATGACGTCTTTTCTGGCGCCCAAAACGCCTCCTTCCTGTCTTCCCAAACTGCGCCTGAAGCTACTACCGCCGCCACCGCGAGTCCAGGTAGCTCGCCGGCGCCAAAGGTGGGGCTGCCGTGGCCTCCTCAGGCGGCGCCGCCGGCCACCTCCGACCAGCCAGGGATGGCTGCTGGCCACCTGTTGCCGGCTGCTGGCCGTGCCTGGCCGGCTACTGCCGCACAGGGCCGACGACTGCCCCACACTTGGTGGCCACGGACGGCCAGCCAACAGGCGCCCAGGCTGCCATGACCCAAGCCACAGCCAGAACAAGTGGGATAAATTAGAGGCTGATCAGACCATTTGGCTAAAGTTGAAGAGGAGGCAAATAGGTACTGATTGGAATAATGCGACAAAAACAATTGACATGGAGATTGAGTGGTGGAAGAAGGCAAGAAATGTGAGTGTTGTCAAATTGTCAATAATTAAATAATTATGTACTGATGTATGTACTGATATATGTACTGATGTTTGTGTTTTTATTATACAGGATATATTCCAGGGTGTGGCAAGTTTAGGAAAAAGCCTCTCCAAAATGAGGATTTGCTTAGGAAAATGTTTAGAAATTACAAATGTGGAAGCAGATCATTGGAACCCTATTAGTGACAATCCTATTATCCCTAGTACTCAAGAGCAACCTTTTGATGTAGATAGTGAATATGGAGGTGGAGAGAATATTGCCCAAGGTGACCCATTTGATGCCAACATTTTAGGGGGATGAGGAGGTCCAGGAGGTATGTATTGCTATTTGGCAACTTGCATGTCCTTTTTTTTCTGTCTGTATTGCTTTTTTTTTTTGTCTCTAATTGGCAATATATATGTTTTTTTTTTTGTCTCTGTGTGCAGAGTGACGAAACTGGTAGTGACCAAAGCGACTCTAATAGTGAGAGCATGGCATTTTGGAATCTTGCAATGGGTGGTGCTAAACTTGCTGCAGGTTATGTTGATTTATATTTTAACAAAAATCCACCTAGGACTTGCAACCTCAGTGATATGGGCTGGTTGCTGGAGACAGTGAACACACCTGGTGAGTGTCATTCGCAGGTTCGGTTGAGCACAGAAATGTTCTACGTCCTTCATGATTTATTGGTTGGGAGATAGTATGGTCTGAAACCATCCGTACATATATGTGCTAGAAATGAAAGCACTCGGGTGAGACTGTTCATAGGAAATTTGTTGTCGCTACTATGGTCCTTCACGACTTCATTCGTGAGCATGGCGGTGAAGACTTGGACTTCGCTGGGTTTGACTTTGATCCAAATTCGATAATACCAACCTCCGTTTCAAAGTACCTGTCACTTTTGACCACTTTTCAATTTTCTAAATACTTGGCACTACGCGTTTTCCAAGATTGCATTTCTAATTTTGCCCTTGGTAGGGTCTACCCTTCTCACCGTTGCTTATTCTAGAAATTTCTACACTCTTATATAGCAATTTTAACATAGGGACATTTTGGTCAATTTTTACAACACAAGTGGGCTGTCTTGGGCTCCGTGCACGGTCAAAATTGCCAAGTGTCAGTATTTGGAAACGGAGGATAGTTTACATCATATTTGAATAGGTAAAAAGTTATTCGGCTACACATGCTCCACGTACATAAAAAAACATACGCTAAACATCATTCCGACCTTTCTTAGAGAAACGTCAGGATCCTAGAGCTAAGAGTTAAGAGTTACTCGTAGGCTGCTCGATAAACATGACTAGGCGTGTTTGGTTTCTCCTCCTAAACTTTAGTCGTGGTCCCATCGGATGTTTGGACGCATGCATGAAGTATTAAATATACAGACTAATTACTTAAACTAATTGCACAACTTTGCGATTAATTTGCGAGATTTAATCTTTTAAGCCTAATTAGTCCATGATTTGATAATGCAGTGCTACAGTAAACATGTGCTAATGACGGATTAATTAGGCTTAATAAATTCATCTCGTGTAGTACTAACGGATTATGTAATTTATTTTTTTATTAGTATCCAAACACTCTATGCGATACCCTCACGTGACACCTCTTAAATTTTAGTCACCGGATCCAAACACCCTCTAGGACTGCTTGCTCCACAAACTCTGCAGTAGAGTTGCTCCACGTGTTGGTTGGCGGAGCAGAGCAGTACTCCTACCCAACAGGCGAGCACTTTAATGGAAATAGCTAGTTAGAGTACTTTTCAAACGCTACTTCTACTAGTATACGTCATATGATGATCTCTCTTGCAATTGAAGTCTGCTTTGCTAGACGACACGAGTTGTTCTAACTTGTTGAGCATGGATCATGAGTCCTATATCTATTTTCCAACAAACGTGCCCGTGTGTTGCAATTGTGGAGCTCAAAACACATTGGAATCGGTGTCTCCTTACCATTGTCAAACAAGAGTTGTTCTGGAAGCATAGGTCATTAGTCTAAGTCGCATACAAGATACAGGGGGCACGAGGGTACTTTAGAAAGTAAAAAATAAGCAGAATGTAAGAAAAATCTTAGCTCTTTAATATTAGGTATTGATATACATATAGATTAGGGACGGAGGAAAAGAGCATAGACACAGTACCTGAACATATTCTGTATAGTACATGACTAGCTTACAAACGATCTGCCTGTTCGCTTGGTCGTATTTAGCTTATAAGCCATGGCTTATCAGCCAACGAACAGTATTTTTCTCTCACATCAAACCAGCCAACAGTACTTTCAGCCATGGCTTATAAGCCAAACCAGCCCAAACAAACAGGGCGGATATACGTGAGCAGCCGTATCCTTAATTACACGAGCGGCGCGGGTGCATGCATGGGCACGGCATGGTCGGCCTGATGGCTGGCAGTTGCTAGCTGTGTTTAGATGCAGGCTGTAAAGTTTTGGGGTGTTACATCGATATGTTAGATTAAGTGTCGTATGAGGTGTTCGCATACTAATAAAAAAATAAATTACAGAATCCGTCAATAAACTATGAGACGAATGTATTAAGCGTAATTAATCCGCCATTAGCACATGTGTTACTGTAGTACTTTATTGTTAAATCATGGACTAATTAGGCTTAAAAGATTCGTCTCACAAAGTAGTCGCAATATGTGCAATTAAGTATTTTTTAGTCTATATTTAATACTACATGCATATGTCCGAAAATTCGATGCGACAGGGTATAAAGTTTTAGCGAAGGATCTAAACAAGGCCTGAGTACTCGGTACCTAACAAGTATTAGTGGACGTCTGATTAAACTGGCGCCTCGTCAACTTGACGCCATCCAGCGGCTGGTATTCATCGGCTCGGCAAACTGATTATAAGGCGAAAGTGATAGATTCCTTCTGGATTTGTCGATCATTTCGTTGAAATTTTCGATTACATTTAGATCCCATGCATGAACAACCCAAAAGTCAAGACTTACATACGAAACAAAAAAAAAGATTATTTATCATGGTAGCGACTAGCGGATGATGCGGTGCCCGAATGCAATACCCAGGGCGATGAAACAGCTAGCTATATAGCTAGCTGACTCACCGTGCTGTGGCGCTGCAAAGCGTCCCCGGCGTCAATACGGTAGCGGGCGGCGTCACACCGCTGTTCGCCGCCAGGAAACGGATGTAGCACTCATGGTCGAAGTAGTAGACAGTCTTCTGAAATGGGAACATGTACATGAACGTCGAGTCCACCGTCACGAGGACGTTGAAGGAGCCGTTGGTGGCCTCCCTGGTGAACAGCGCGGCTGCTGCCGGGGCTAGCGGAGTGGCGCTGCCCTGGAAGTTGGCGTGGACAATGTTGGATGCCTTGGGGCGCTGGACGAAGATGGGCAGCACGTCGACGCTCGGGCCAAGCCGTGTCCCGCTGTAGGATGCCACCGCTATGAGGTCCAGGTACCGGACGTCGAGGTGTCTGTGCAGGTTCTGGAAGGTCAGATACATGGCGTTGTCGTAGTCGAGCGAGGAGGTTGTGTTGTCGAGGCTGAGCGAGGAGGTTGTGTTGTCGAGGCTGAAACTGACGACGACGGCAGCGTCCACCCGCGGCCGCAAGTTGTCGGGGCGGAGGAGGACCCAGAGTAGAACCGAAACCAGGCTGATTGGGATGAAGTAGTCGATGAGGGCGTAGACGAAGGTCAAGAACTCCCAGAACCCGCACTTCTGCTCGGGGTTCTCGATATACTCACAGTCACAGGAGAAACAACACATGCCGCAGCAACAACACAAAGCCCAGCAACAACAGTCATTCTCGAATTGCTGTGGGGCCTCCTCCCGCGACGGCGGCAAGGCATTCTGTTTCCTTTCTTTTCGATAATATGGATCGCAGCAAAAAACTCTCTGCGCGCAATTCATTTATAAGACTGTGGCCAGACTGACTCGAGAGAAGAATTATTTAGGTCCACTAGGCTTCCACACGGTACAACTCTTTACGAACCACTCACCAAACACGTACCCATGCTCCACAGCCTGAATTGCTAGGGTTTGCCCTCTCGCCAAAGTTCTGAGAATTTTGGTGAAATTGATTTCAGGTCCGTGAACACTTTTTTTTTGAGAGGGTACAATTACACCAAGTTTGAACCCTAGTGGGTAGCGTCCCGTTGAGTAGTCTTATCACCAGACCAAAAGCCCTTTCACTCGATGTACACATTTTGGAGTATACTTTGTTTTGTAAAGCTGCCACAGCGTATTGCAAACTGATTATCTTTGGGTTTTTATATCATACATGACTTTACCACATCCATTTGGTTGTATGTAGCAACCCATTCTCTTACTTGCGCCATGTTCGGCACGTAAAGCTACTTGTATCTTGGAGAATGAGTAATCAGGCACTTGATAGCCAATGCTTGCTTGCAAATAACGCATCACAGTATTGAACTCCGCACCTCTCCGGTTCGGTATATGTCGTCCTATCTGTAGGATTTCTGTTCGCTGCCCTAGTACACCTCTAAGAGGCATGTCAAAGGCGATATTACACATCCATAACCGATCACTTTCAGCATTCAAGACCTCACTTGTCGTGTCAACATGGATTTCTCACAACTGAGCAACTACAGTGCTGATTCCAGCCAACGCACGGGTATATTCTGTGACATATGCAACCATCATACTATGAATGAATGTATATATGAAAGAACTTTGGTAAATAGATTCATTAGCATGCAAAACTTAAATGGTGATATTTCATACTACAGCTGGATCTGAACTGTAGAACGACCATATTTGGCTCGATTTATAGATCACCAAGGTGGAAAACAGGTGCCTGCAGCACGTGTGGTCCGCCCTTCATCATACCTGATAAAAGTGAAAAAATGTCCAGATAAACATGGAACCCCATATAAATACTATGTAATATATTAGAGAAACATATATATAATGTGCCAAAAGATACATATGTGCCAACTAAAGTTATGTATTTTGCAGTAAAGCTCATTAAATGCACTAATGTGTCTTAACATTAATCCTGCATGTTAACATAATTAATGTCTTATATAAATTTTACTAAGAATATATATATCAACATTTGTGTCCTAACATTTGTGTTGGCACCCTACGTGTTGTCACACAATTTATTTTAATCGATTATTAACTCTCATCAAGAACTAATATTAAGGTTTCCGTAAAATGTTGAAAAAATGTCGACCGGTAAAGATAACAACAAAGATATAGAAATCATTGCAGATGTTTAGGGTTATGTAGAAATGACATATAAATAAAAACTCCACCATTTTTCCTAATTTAAAAAACCACAAATTTCTACATTTCTAACCTATGAAGCTACATTAA